AGAAGTATGCGGTCAATAATAGTTAATCACTCAAAACCAAGATTGAATTGATTAAATAAACTATGACTTCACACACTTTCCATCTTGTAGATAAGATCCAGCATAGGAGGTATCTTTTATCGACAACTATCAGGAGAAATTTTACAATCACTTCTTTTTCTTCTGCAAGGAACCACTTCTAGTCATTGGTAGAAATGAAGACCGATGAGTGTTGCAGAAATAGACCATTTACTTTTAACAGGTGGAGTGAGTACAAGAAAGAACAACGCCATCATGCATATTCTTGAATCATATCAGAAACCAAAATAGGAGTAATTGTGGCCTTATGTTTTACATTTTTTTCTCCAAAAGGTGATCCCATCATGATTTAACCACGCAAAAATATAGTTCATCAGGGTTATTGAACCCTTGTTTGTTATTGCTCGTATGAGATGACTTATAGGTTGGTCCAGCTATGTTAGTGTGTGAGTTTTGTCGTTTGTTACCAGTTCCTTTATCCCAGACGGGCTTATGTTATCTCAAGTATTATGAGATTATGCTAAGGATTTGGCTGACAAGCCCTACACAAGCGAACACACAAGATATAACATGTACATGACCATAAATTAATATTTGACATTGATGTATTTATGCTAAAAAAACTTTGAGTGTCACAATAGTGAATGTGGTAGATAATTGAAATTTCTTAACTATTTAAGTTCTGCTGGAAAAACAACCTTGATTTTGATTATTGAGGACCCCAAACCACTAACCAATTTTTTTGACTAATAGTTAAATAGAAGGCTTTGTGTGTCATCATTCACAACTGAAATGTTCTAACTCGTGTTTGAAGGATTCGGGTATCAAGTTGATTTTGATTATTGAGGACCCCAAACCACTAACCAATTCTTTTGACTAATAGTTAAATAGAAGGCTTTGCGTGTCATCATTCACAACTGAAATATTCTAACTCGTGTTTGAAGGATTCGGGTATCAAGATGAGGAACTTGTAAAGGGCGCAATAAGGTACAATCAATTGGTGGTAGTAATTAATCCCATACTAGAGAGCGTTGACTAATGTTATTTTTTTTCAGGATTACCTATAGATTAATAGAAATATATAGAAAAAATTAAAACCTAGAATATTAATGAACAGAAGGTAGGGCAAGAGAACATATATAGTCACACAGAATATAAAGGGACAACTTATTAAATCTTGAGGCAGGACCACAAGGACAGACTTAAAGCAAGTTTTTCAGATTGCTGGTACGGATAGATAGTGATGAAGCGTACCCACAATTGTAAACTGCTTGACTTATCATGTCCACACCTGTCCTTTGATCTATTAGAGGAACAAAACACTCATTCAGCACTGAGAGAGCCATGGAGAGTTTTACATTAGATTCCATAATAAAGGAAAACCTCTGGTCAGACATGATCCCTGAATCTTTATCAAAATGCTTCAATATAGTCCAAGAAAATCCATCCTCTGTAGAATTTGTGATACCAAGCATATCCAGTAGTTTCACAGCCACCTGTAAGATTCAAACATTCAGGATAAAACTCTGCGCACAAAAGTTAAATCTTTTCAGAGACAATAAGCGACAAAAAAAGATGGAACTATACCAGAATTAGCTGCAATTTGATAAAAAAAGAACAATGAACCTTGAAAAGGAACTAGATTACTAGAATGTACTGCAATTAATATCATTATCAAATAATTATAGAATGAACTCTTGATTGAATGCACAGACATGCATAGCTTCATAGATCTGTCAAGCTGATAGTCATACAAACATACTAATGAATCAAAGAAAATAGCCTTTAACTCTGCTACTCCCAGTTCTACAGGATATTAGATAGAGTAACAAGTCAGTAAGGGGAAACAAATTTTATAGAAAGGAGTATTCAAGATGGAATTTGACGAATATGGTAATTGATACATTTGACAGTTAATCAAGGTCATTTTAAAATGTTTTTTTCTTTGAACAACCAAAGTAAACATGTAAAATAATGTAAACGGTCATCCAGAGGCTAAAAAATAACCTTTTGGCAATTCTTCCCACAGAAAGAAGATGGAACTGGACCCATCATGTGCATGCTGTTTCCCCAGGCACAATTTTTATGATCTGCAGAAGATTCATGCAAGCAAATCTATAAGCAATCACCTACGTTGAGCTGTGCAGTATATAGAATAAAGCAAAAGCAAGTAACAAGTAATATACTTAGTTACTTACATTTGCGTGAACATTGCCTGCACGATAGCAAATTCTGAGTTTCAAGGGGCATGTCCAATCCATGCACAAGCGCCTTACAGAATGTGCATATGCAATATGGACAGTACCAACTGCCCTCTGGAAGGGTCTGAGAGAAAATGAGTAGGTTACAAAACTTAAGTTGGATTTCAAAGTATATACGAAATAGAAATAAAAGCGATTTGAGAGTAACAGCATTTGGGGTCTGAAATTTAACATAAATTTTAGAATTCTAGTTCTAATGACCAATGAGAAAGTGCAATATAAGCCACATCTCAGATAAATGAAGAAAACCTTAGAAGCACTAGTAAAATGTTATGACCATACAGCATGGCTTCTACAAAATGTATATCAGAGGAACAGCACAGTTGGCCAAAATTCAGCAAGACAGTGTTAACTTTAATTTTACGAACGAGGCCCATAGTATTATAGTGCAGGTATTCATCCTTGAAGGGCCAAAGGCCAGGTCAAAAGTACACATTTCTTGAGGATCCTTAAATTGTTTAATCGTAACTTTGATCATTGGATCTAACCTTCTCTGTGAACCATTCACATGCTTAAAACAAATTTAGTACTGTGAAGCAGGACATCTAAATGTGCATCGAAGTATGAAAAGTATACAAAGAGAAGCTTATATTTCAGTACCTTGAGCATCAAACAGGTCTGGTGAAAGGTTGAAGGACAGCTGTCACAGCATATTAAGTGACCACCATCAGCACAAATACCACATGTATCATCGCTAGGATCGGGATCACCAACTCCCACAGTCTGAAACCCAACTTTCTTCTGTACCTTTTCCTTCTCCCAAGCCTCTTTCAGGCACAACAGAAGCGTCTTTCCTGACAATAGGAAAATGTTACCCCAAGACTGTTGAAGTTCTCCACCAGCATGAGCTACAAAGTTTGACAATGAAACTAGCTTCTTACGGCAATTGCACCAAATTCCCTTTCTAGTTAGAAAACCAGAGGTGTTTTCTGTATTGTTCTTTGTGATATAATAAATCCTTTCATTTTCATTCAGAGTTCCAGAATCCATTAACCAAGATAATATGTTAATCTTTGTCTGGGATACGATTGCCTCTTGATGGTCATCCTTGCCTCTCCTAACAGTAAGGCCACAACCACCTCTCCTATTTTTCTTCCTTTTTTTGTTAAAAATTCCTCCATCAACCAGCCTCCCTTCAGCAGCAAATGATAGAAAGCCTTTCTCAGAGACATCTCGAACCTCGACTTCAGGCAAGAACTGTTCATATTGTACTGCTTTAGAATGTCATCTGATGCAGCATTTTCACATGAAGTCGTCGTATTTTCCTTCTCCTTCTTTTCCAATATGTGCACTCCCAATTCTGCAGGATATAAAAAGTAATCTTCAAACCCAACTTCTACATCGGAATCATCATCCACAGGAACATGTTTCCCATTGATACGTGTAGATCTCCTTATTCGTGTGGTTCCACATCCATGCATATTATTGTCATTGGATTCGCTTGAATAGAGAGCACTGCCGGACTCTGATCTTTGGGTTTTATCTTGTGAACTTTCATCGCTGTTGCTGCAATCAGATTTCTCCCTCAACGCCTCTTCTTTTCTAACATTTGTCCTGGTCACATATTTAGCATTAACCAAAAAACTTGTTTCTCTCTGCCTCTCTGAGTCCAGGTTTCTTTCAAACGCATCATTATTCTTGTTTAGGCGCGTAGATCTCCTTAGCCCAACTGATCGTCTGCCCTTGACAACAGACCTCTTGCTGCTTTTACCATTTCTCATGACACCCATACTGCTGAAATCTGAATTTATGAATTCATTATTCAAATCTCTGCCTATTTTACAGGATTTGGGTGTTTCTTTCATCAGGTTTTCCCTATGTGAAGTAGGAATTTGCTCAGCCTTTGATCTGTCTACGCAAACACCAGATCCAGACAGTACATTCATTTTGTTATCTAATGGACCATGCCTCCCACTCGTTCGTGACCTCCTTACTCCAGAAATCCCATTGCAGAAAGAATCCCTGTTAGGTAAACTAGCACTACAAGCTGCTGGGTTAAGTTCATCATTACTCAAACATCTATCTTCTGCATGCCCCTTTGTTCTCCCACTGACCATGCACAAAGAAGATGCTTGGTTTGCTTCTTTACACACGAATCTATCTGTCTTTTGCAAGGATTTTTCTTCGTTTTCTTTTAATTGATCACCTTTCTGTTGAACTTGTTCCTCAATATCTTTAATGGGTCCGATGTTCTTGAAAAAATTAGAATTCTTCTTTCTTCTACCTCTCTGTTTCTTTGTGATAACATTAGCACCATTTTCTCTCCCTGACCCTAGATAGCTACTAGAAACAGCTGCTCTTTGAACTAACGCACCGCCAAGAGAGCTGTTCTCCAAATGCCGGGACAAGACACTAGCCTTCCCACTATATTTAGAAGTGCCTTGTAGAAAGGTCTCAAAGGCTTTCGGAAGGGAATAGTAAGGAAGCCCAACAGGAGATACGTAAACATACTCGCTTTTGCCAGGTTGAAGCAGCACCTTCCAACCAAAGAGACCCAAAAGGCTCATAAGATGCGGAGGTGGCGGTCCTGAGCTTGAATTAAGCATCCCACTCAAAGCTCCCAGTGAAATTTGAGGAGGGTTTGAACTGACTGAGTGTGCTGGCTTTGGTTTAGCTGTTCTACTGGCTGAATCACTGCATCTTCTTGCTTTTTTCTCTGGCACCCAATCGGGATCTTCCTCCTCTCCAGAACCCCTTTTGCTTCTGCTAGTTTCTGATGTCGAAATGGAACCCTCTGCAGCTGAACTAGAGACATCTTCGAAGCCATTGTTAATTTCATGGGTATTCGACGGATTCTGGGTTGTGTCTGCTGAGGAGTACCCAAGTTAAGACACAAGAAGGAGCCATTGAAGGCCCCGTTAGTCCTCTGCTGATTCACCATCTTTATTGAATTCCGTAGGCCTACCAACAAATCCTGCAAAAGTTCACATTCTACAGACAAAACATTGAAACATGACAAAAAAATCCAAAAAAAAAAGAAAGAAAAAGAAAACAACAGTGAAATATCAATATATTACATGTATTTGAACGGAAACTTTGCCATTGAATCAGTTTCATAGCAGTGCCTAAAAACTGAACATTAAAGGAAGAACAGAGTATTTTCGCAACAAATACCTAAAACCTCTAAATTAAATTTTAAAAAAAAGAAACACCAAAAACCATTAAAAAGAGCAGACAGTGCTCCCTTTTAATCAACAATAAGTTCAATTAAAAACAAATTTACTATTGAAAAAATTAATCCTCTACGTGCAATGCAACATCATTCTTCATCTCATAGTAAGTTCAAAAAAAATAAAATAACAGGAACAACGATCTAAACCCTAGAAACAACAATATCAAATTGAATCGAATACGATCAAGTGAAATCGACTTACTTCAAGAATCGAATCGCCTGATCTCTTCAAGACTTTGATGAACTCGCATTGCTCGCGTAAAATGTAGAAAGCTAGGGTTGTTCCCCCTCTCCTCTGCTTTCTTTTTGAATCGATCTCTCTCTCTCTCTCTCTCTCTCTGGGTTCGTTGCTTTAAAGGGTTTAAAGGTTTTGGAATTTTCTCATTTTTAGCAATTCCCATCGCAGCCTTTAATCAGACGAAAAAATAAAATAAAATAGCAACAAAATTATTGCCTTTCTATTATTTTATCTCTTTTATAACGACTCCTTGTTTCCGCTCACTCGCGGATCCGCTCGTTCGCTCCTGCTGGGTTCTGATTAATTCGGTTGAAGCGAAGCGGATAAGGCGTGGCTTAAACTTTCCCTGCGGGTGAACGTAACGGAGTACGATCAGGTGTCTAGTGAAAAACACTAGACACGGTAGGTGGTTCTTCGATTTGATGACGGGTAAGAGAACACGGCGTGTTTCTGTGCTGCGGAGAACAGCTGATTTGGCACGTGAGGCAGTTGGAAGGTTGGGTCAGGTGGGCGAACCAGCTGGATTCTGGTCACGTGCCAGGTGGAAGGTGCGGGACAAAATTATATAACTTCACTCTTTCTTTTGAATGTCCACTCACCAGTGAACCAGACGTGTGTAATGAGCAGTTGATTTAAATGGAGTGGATTTATCAGAAACAGCAGAGACGTGATTAAATTTGTGATTATCTTTTAAAGTAAAGTACTAAGTGGAAGTTAATGCGGTTAGTTAACAACCCGGGAAAGCTGCCCTTTTTGCTGCTCTTTAGAATATACAAACGATGCGTTTATAAAAGGTATTACTAATTCTTAGCTATTTACATCAATAAGAATTTATTGATTATAAATTCAGTTCTTATTTTATCATCAATAAATTGTAGTAACACCACCTTGCACAAAAAGATCAACAGAAACTCAGAAAGCTAATTTTTTTTTTTTTCACCCGATGAGGACAGTATGTTCCAAAATTGCTCCTTCACTCTTCCACAGTCCCCAGTATGTCTTATGACATATTTCAGCATTTGGCGAAATGCGATTCATGTTAGAAAAATTATAAAGGTGACAGAAATTCTGAGGCGTGAAACATTTTTCTTAAAGAAATATTTGCCTCACTTGATATTCAAAGTTGTTTCGGGTTAATGCAAATTTTCTTCACAGAATACAACAGAAAAATAAAAAATTCAGCAAACAAATCTGGAATTTTACACTAACTCGTTGCGAAACAATTTTGTAGTATTGCAGATGTTTTTGACAGAAAAGATTTGAAAAAGACGGAATTCAGTGCCTTACATTTCAACCAAAACCTGCATTCAACTTATTCTTGACTCTTCGCATCCATAAGTCATGAGGCTGGAAATTTTCCGGTAGGGCAAAGCAAACAAATGTAAAATCCATTGTATAGAAGAATAGAATAACAAACTTCTTCCCGATATAATCAGAGAGCTTGGCCTATGTTCAGTAAACATATCTGTTGGTAGTTTGTAAATAAAAATATGGAAAACAATTGCAAATACTGGAGGACGTTGACGATTATCGTCCAACATTTCTAGAATTTTCGTTTAGCGAGAAAGAAAAGAAAAATCATCACCGCCCACATACAAAAAGATGTTAATAAGGAAGTTTAGAATATTATATTTCGGGAGAGCAAACAAATTGACAATCTTCATAACTGCTGAAAGATAGTGACAATGTACTATTAGTTTCATTATATACAGATTCTTCCGTTATTGGAATGTTACCGATAAATATTTTACGAGCTTTGCTACAGGAATCCAAAATATGGAACCAACAGGAGGGACATGTGAGGTGTCCCCCTTCTACTGTATAATGAGGTGGTCATCATTAATGATGGTCAGCTCATTATGTAATAGGAGGGGGACACCTCACATGTCCCCTTAGTCCCATATTTTGGGTCATTGGAGAATTTTTTATACTTTACATAAGAGATTGGGGCTTGTGATTGGACTCTGAGAAGCAAAGAGGAAGAAGAACTGATATTTCTGAGGGGCTCCGGTAATGGGTAGGTGGTTTTGCTTTTGTTTTCGTTGCAATTTCTCAAGGAGAATTATCCTCCTTATATAGGGGCTTAACCCATCATCTCTACCCCTCAGATCCGCCCCCATGAGAGATTTTCTCTCAACCACTCATGATTCACGTTCTCCACCATTCTCTCAATAGAGAAACAGTGGTTGATTTGGTCATCATTAACCACGTCAAGCTAACATGTCTCACTTGAATAGTAGATACTGACACCAAGCGTTTGAACTGTGATAAATTACTACCGATGCCATTATTCTTCACTCTGTTTTCAACAACTTCAAGTTTCCAAATAAGGTCAAATGTTAAAAAATTAATTAAAAAGGATACTTTTTCGACTAGCTTGCGTTTGTCATTTTTATATGTATATATGTTGAAAGGACAAATTTTTAAAAACACCTTTTTTAATTAATCAAAATCGACTCCCTGATAAAAAAAATAAGCAAAACTGACGCCCACCAACCCCCTCTCTCTTGTGTAAGCAAAACCGACCCCACCAACCCTCTCTCTCTCATGCGCTCGTGAACTCCACCCGCATAGTCACAACAAAATGGTGGGCTGTAGTGCAGCTTAGGCTTTTAAAGCATGCAAAAGGCGCTCTGGGGCACTCTGTGTTCCAGATCATAGTCTGTCGTCACCGCTTGCTTCATAAGGCATAGGTAAGTGGGTAGGCCACGCGACACTCTTGCAAATGAAGCTAACCCTCGCCGCTCCTCGCTTAGAGAGACGAACCTTTCCCCTCCCGCTCCGGCCGGTCTTCTGACCACCGTCCTTCCGCGCCAGGTCTCACACACCATTCCCGAAACCACGCGATACCCTCACTTTTTCCTTGTTCTCCTTCTCTCTCATCCCCCCCCGCGTCGGCGGAGGCTTTCTCCTTGCCCTTCCCATCGTCCACGACCTCCTTCCCAGGCTCCATCACTCACACGGCGGCCACCGATCCGGGCCCTTACACCTCTCTCCATACCGCCTCCTCCTCGGGCACTACGTCATCGGCCGAGGCAAGGAAGCCGCCGCCATCCCCCGTCAGACGGTGGACTTACTCATGGCTCTCCCCGCATCGCCTCTGCCTGCCTCCGACCGACCCTGACCTCCCTCCGCGGCTGCACCGCCCGATCCGCCGTTCGCCTCTTTCCCCGACCCACCACTACCCACTCCTAGGGCCCCCGCCACAGCGAAATCGACCATTTTCCTCTGAAAAGGGTCGATTTTGCTATTTTTTTGAACAAACGGTCGTTTTTGCTATTTAATTTTGAAAAAGTGGTGTTTTTAAAAATTTGTCCCAAAAGAAACTATACTCACTCATCTGCAGGACAATAAATTTTTTATAATTTTAGCAAGATGTATTATCTAAAAGTCAAATTGAAAATTGACAATCAAAGGAAATATAAAAAATTCATAAGATCAACATAATAATCTATCAGAGGTCACCTCGATGAACTCGTGATCAAAAACTGCTTCGGCCTCGAAACCCCGCGCCGGATTCCCAACCAACGGCAGATCAGTCTGCGATCAAGATCACATAAAGATCATATCAACATCAAAACCATAAGGAGCAGAGCCTTAAATGAGCTTAAAAATCATGAAAAACAACATAATTAAGCTTAACCTCGCTTGAAGCGTTAGCAAAGAATCTTCTTTCAGAATATTAGGGAGCAGGGATCACACGAGATGATCGAAGCTGAAAGCTCCGCCTCAATCCGTTGAATCCCTGCTAGGGTTTGAGATGACGAAACAGAGACGG